CACACACACACACACACACACACACACACACACTCGTACGTAGTAGTGTGGTGTGTGTGTGTGTGTGTGTGTGTGTGTGTGTGTGTGTGTGTGTGTGTGTGTGTGTGTGTGTGTGTGTGTGTGTGTGTGTGTGTGTGTGTGTGTGTGTGTGTGTGTGTGTGTGTGTGTGTGTGTGTACCTGGCTGAGTTTGGCCTGGGCGCCGCGGTACTCCTGGATCAGACTCTCCAGCTGGTTGTTGATGTATTTCTCTCGGCTGCTCACCTTCTCCAGAGTCTTGCCGACGTCTTCCTGCAGTCTGTCCAGGTAGCTCTGCACAGGGCGGGACAAGATGGAGGTCATGAAGGACGCTCAAACGGGTTCAGACAACACGTCGGGAAACTTCTAATACAAAATGTACTTGTGTTGATGTCAGAGGTGAAGTGGGGGAGTTTCATGGTGGTACCTGTTAGTTAACGTTTTTAGCCTATTCACCTGTAGTGTGTACACATCCAGATCTTTAAAGGCTGTTTCTTCCTCCTCTCACACACACCAAACTCTACACACTCATTCCTCTCTGTATTCTGGAGCTTTTCACAGCATTCACACACCCATCTATACACACTTTATCGCTAAAAACATGCAGAAAATGACTTTTTATGTCACTATTTAGTGATTTATGGAGGAATACAAAGAGATATCCAACATTTAATATGTCAACAACAGGAAACCTGTAATACAAATAAGTATTATCTTACTGTCACTAATACACCTGGGAAGTTTCATAGTGATATATGTTGGTGAAATATTTTACCCTATCTACCTGTAGTGTGTACGCACATACATTTTACAATCCATATTTTTCCTCCTCACACACACACGGCTATCTATTTACTGCATTCACACACCCATCTATACACACTTTATCACTAAAACATGTATTTTGTGATTTATGGACTGATACAAACAGATATCTAACATCTAATACGTCAACAAAATGAAACAAGAATATGAACCTGGGTTAATCCTTAATGTTCACACTTCTGTCAGCACGTATTTAAGAAGATAATGCCTCATTTGCATATTAAAACTGAAGATTACAGAAAACGTGTAATACAAAAAAGTGTTATCTTAGTGTCAGTAATACACCTGGGAAGTTTCATGCTGATATCTGTTAGTGAAATATTTTACCCTATTCAGTACTAAGTGTCTTATTGAGTCTCATAGAAAGTGCTCACAGGAAGTAGTATGATGTCATATCAGGTGTGTGTGTGTAGTAAAGGTGTCACACAGCAGAGGCTCATGTAGTGCAGTGTGCAGAAGTGGAGTCACAGACAGTTAAAAATACTCGTATTATTGCAGCAGGTCATTGAACGCACCGTGGCTTCTTTGAGCGAGGACTTGATCCCGTCTCTGTGTTGATGCATCTGCTCCACGTGGATCCTCCAGTCCTGCACACACACACACACACACACACACACACACACACACACACACACACACACACACACACACACACACACACACACACACACACACACACACACACACAGTGAGTCCGGCTCAGAGTCACCTGTGGGGGGCTCTCAGGTGAGTTGTACCTTGTTGTCGGTCCTGACGGTGACTTTGAGCTGCGGCAGGACTCTCTCCACCTCCAGGCTCCACTCTGCTGCGTCCACCGTGGCCTCCAGGATCTCCTCTGGTTTGGAGGAGGCTTCTGTATCCTGTCAGAGGACAAACACAACACCACCTGGTTCATCAGAACTCACATTTACAGCCCTGAAGGAGTCCTTGAATGCGTCTCCAGGTGAACTCACCGTGGGACAGGTGCGTAACTTCAGAGCCTCGAGGTCCATCACGTTCTCCTCCTCGTCGTCAGGCTCCTCCTGGGACCAAACACTCAACACATCGACTTCACAACAGTGATCCAACAACACAATCAATACCTCACAAGATGTATAGACTTTCTGAATGATCACACCAGATTAAAATATTCTTTTGGGTCAGTTATACACCTAATTTGAATTGATTAACGACAGAAGAAAATTAATAACTTGAAAGGTCAAACGTTGTAAATGTCCTCTTTAGAAAGCCAGTGAAGGAAACCACGACAACTTCAGTCTTTCACCACAAGAGGGCAGTATGTGCAGGTCTGAAGCTCGACCAACAACCAATCACATGAATCTCCCGCCC